TCTCCTGCTGCCACGACGCCCGCCGCCACTACTACGGCCCTCACAAGACCCAAGACTATGAATCTCTTGTCATGGGCAACATCCTCCTCGTCGATAGCTCGCCGACGGCGCTTCTCCCGGCGTTGCGCTGCGATCCCCCTGGGATCTTGACGCTTCCCACGCTCAGGCATGGTAGTGGAGTTGCCTTGGGAAGCACTTTGGGGTGTTGTTGGTGCTGTCTAGGTGTGGTGTGATGAAGACAGCACGCGTGACCGGTGTCTGCTCCGGTAGTCGCAAAAAAGCGGGAAATTTTTCACCGAAACGTAAGGAGNGAAGGTCCCGCTGCGCATCATCTTCAAGGGTACGCCTTTCGTCCCGCCTGCCACGCCCGGGAAGGGAAAGGCGACTCAGCCGCGGAAGAACTCTATCGCGTGGGAGGTACTTCCTGCGAACCGCTCCAAGCACGGGGTCCCCGTGGGAGGCATGTCCTTCGGGGTGCAGGAGGAGAGCTGGTGTGACCTGCGGGAGTGCAAGGTCTGGATCAAGGACAGCTGGAAGCTCCGTCCCAACAACGGCAGCATCGTCCGGCAGCGCCGATGCATCTTGGTGCTGGACGACTTCAAGTGCCACAAAGACGATGGCTTCATCGCGGCCCTCAAGAGGGAAGCCAACACCATCGTCATCTTCATCCCAGGCGGGTTGACTCCTCTCCTCCAACCGCTGGATCGCATGCTCAACAAGCAGATGAAGCGGCTGCTGCGGCGGGGCATGTACACGGCACACACGGCAAAGGCGGCCAGGGACCCCAAGACGGGCAAGCTGGTACCGTTGGGGCGTGGGGCCGTCGCTACTTGGTGCAAGAACGCGTGGGCATCCATTACCCCCGAGACAGTCAAGACTTGCTTCAAGATCTGCGGCCTCACGCTCGCGCTCGACGGCAGCGAAGACCACGCCTGGTGCCTGCACAACTTCGGGGACGGCTACCGCGAGCTCCTGGAGCAGCAGCGCGTCGAATGGCTTGCGGAACACCCCAACGTGACTCTGCCGCCGCTCCAACTTCCGAAGGTACCAGCCGAACCAACCGCCAATCACATCGTAGCTGCAGCAAAGGAGCTCGAGGCGGGGCTTTGCCTCGCGGCGACGACAGCGACATCGAGATTGAGGATGAAGACAGCGATGTAGAAGTCGTGGAAGGGGCGGGGGATGATGAAGTGATCGAGCTGTGAAATACCGCCGTTACGTGGGAGTACCAGTACAGTAGAGGTTTGGTTTGCAACATGTTCGTAGGAGACTGGCGCAAGAACTCTGTGATGCGGAGGACAGCCGCTTCTAGAGAGGGGTTTTTGTTTGGTGCTACATACGAACGTGGAACAACACTTGCAACGCGGTCCACGAGCATGTGCCAGTAAAGATTTCCAGAATACTTTTGTGGAGATCGCTACTTTATGCCGGTTTTTCGCACGAGTCCTAGGTGGTGGTTTGTTGCGGTGGTTTCGATGAAAAAACAAATAAAAATGATCGCACTCTGAAAAACAAATATATTTTCAAGTCCGGCGGGTAACGTATTACAAAAAACGTTATTGCGCAGAGGTACATGAGCACCACACGGCGCCGAAGTTGATTCTTCATCAAACACGCCCCTACTTGTTTAGCGCACAACAATACTGGACACCGCTCTTGGAAGCGCCCAACCTCATTGCTGGGATCGGGGTCTCCGCACAGTGTGCGTAGACCTCGATCCCTGTGCGATAATCGAATTAAATCATGTGGAACGCAGAAGATTGCAGAGACAGAGGCGTTGAAATCTGAGTTTTGTGAGGAGCGGAAGATGAAATATCTGTTGGCCAATCAGAGTGCAGCAGCATGGAGTCAGCGTGAAGTGTCTGAAACCTGACCAGGAGAGTAGACTTGGGAGCACTTGTTGGTCTGCCCCAAGGAAGCACGAGGGAGGCTGCTGCAGCCAAGAGGTATTTCGGAGGAGATCTATTTCTTTGGAGGAGATCTACTTGGCGCGGGCTGCTGGGGGCATTCACATATCGGCTGGAACGGGAGGTTTGAATCTTGGCGGCTCTCGGTTGCATCAAATTTGGGCCATTTCATCCGAGCACAAGTCGCCGGAGACGGAAGAGCGCCTTGGTGTCGTCCGCAGTGAAGGATCTACTGGCGGTCAGGTCGAGTCGGCGTTGGGGACGGGAGGGGGTTCATTTCCTCCGTCTCAGGTTGTGGCGGGCGCTGTTGCGGCGGCCGCGAGGGCTGCTGCCGATGGCGTGGATTCACCAGCAGGTGACGTGGCTTCAACAACGCAATCATCCGCAGATGTTGGTGTTGCCGAGAGCAGTGGGTTTCCGACGCAAAGTCATGCTCGGGCCTTGGCTTCCAGCGGGGACCGCCAGCCGGAGCTCGGGCGTGCGGATGACCAAGTCCAGGCCCACGTCATGTCTCGTTTGGCCCATATGTCGGTGGGTGCTGCGGCGGGGGGAGAGCCCAGCGAGGGCACCACGCTCGCGTCTGAGAATGCGGAAAAAATCGCTCGTCTGGAACAAGGCCAGACGAACATTGTGGCGCAGCTTACCGAGATCGCTGGGTTGCTGAAGAACCTCCGGCCGGAGTCGGGGCAGGATGGGAGTCGTGGGCCCGGGGGCTCGGGAGGCCTCGGTCTGGTGCCGGCGTCGTCGCCGTGGGGCGGGGGCGCGGGCGGGGGGGCGAGTGTGCCCGCGAGGTCCAACGCCAAAGAGGAGGCGAGGAGGGAGGCCACCATTTGGCAGGCCAAATACAATCAGACACTCTGGGTACTTCGGGGGCAGCGGGGGCCGGAGCCCGGGCCACAGAAAGAGGACCTGCAGGGATTGATGAGCGATATCGTTCACGTCACGGGCGACGTCCTCGCCCAGATGCGTGCGTTTTCGTCTTTCGACGTCAAGAGCTTCCGGCCCGTGGGGGTCGCCCGTACGTCGTCTATTGCAGACAACTTCGACGTGATGTGTGAGGCAGTGATGCGGCTGTTGAAGTTTGGTCTAGATTCGTCCACGACCGCGGGTGTGCAATCGCTGCGGCGGTTGGAACCCATAGCCACAGCCATGGCGGACGCACGCTCCAGGTTTCGGACTACTCTCGTGCGGAATAGTGATGTGTTTCCGGACGAGTACCAGCGGGCGGCACTGCCAAGGTTACCGAACGAGGACTTCAAATTGTGGACAACGGCGATCATCACCTGGATGTACCCCTTCACGAAAATGCATTATCCGCCGGACGCGTTCGACGGACACACCTTGCCGCCGGTGCCCGAGTTCCCCAACATCAATAACTTCTGTGAACGGGGGGTCAATCTATTCCGGCTGGTCCTGAGTGACGGAGGATCCCTCCCCGGAACAGGAGAGTCGCGGGGCGGGAGCGGCAAGCGTAAGGCGGGCCAACTGGATCGGGGTGATTCATCGTCACGGAAGCGTGTCACAAGGGAGTGCTTCCAGTTCCGCGACTCTGGCACGTGCTCTTTCGGCGACAAATGCAGGTTTGAGCACGTGAAGCGCCGAGATTCGTCAAGCACCGGAAGTGGCAGTGGGGGGGGCGGGAGTCGCGGTGGGGGGGGGCGCTCGTCGGCTGGTGGTCAGGGGGGCGGCGTCGCCCGGAGAGGAGGACAGGCTGACGGTGGCGACGGTGGTGGCTCGTCGTCGGCCTTGGCGGTGCGGGGTGGCAGCAAATAGGGGTGCGGGCTCCGCCGGGTGGCGGGGCCAACTCCAGTGTCGGTTCCAGCTGAGAGGCCGCAACAGCAGCCAGGTCATAGGGAGATGGCGTCCCGGGCCTTGGCTGGCGTGGGGATCCGAGGCGAGCGCTGGGAGGGCTTGCCCGGAGTGGCTTCCGACTTGGAGTCAGGTACGAGGCAAAGTTTTGAACAGGTTTCGCCGCGTGAGGTTGAAGAGTGGCGGGTGGCCGTATCTGCGTTGGCTGCGTGTGAAGCTGCAGAACGGTACGTCCATCTTAACCATGTGGCGCATGTGGGTTCAAACTTGCTTCGACGGTGTGGGGGACGCGTGGAAAGGTTCGTCGCCGCTGTTGGCCAGAAGTTCTTTCTGCCCCATGTCGATGTGATGCGTGTCAAGGCGCATTTTGGTGACGCGAAAAAGTTTCCCCGAGTAAGTCAACTTCTGAGATCGTTGTCTCCGGGTGCGCCGGTTGACGTGGGCTTAGGTGGGAACCTGGACGCTGAAGTGGCGTACGGCAACCATCCTAGCGCGTTACTGCACAGAGATCGGATCACAGACAAAGTGGTATCGGACGTGATCTTGGGGCGTGCCTTGGTTTTCGATGTTCGGTTTATTCGAGAAATCTTGGGTGTTAGAGTGTCGCCGTTGGGCGTCATCGACAAACCGAAGTTCAGAATAATTCACGATCTCACGTTCACCTCCGGCGTGCCCATCCGTACCAGCGTAAATCACGATACAGACTTTGATCAAGCACCCGAATGCCTCTTGGGTCATGTTTTGAGTGATATTCTGAAACGGGTGCTGTATTTGCGACAAGTACACGGCGTGTCGTTGGAAATTCTCATCTGCCGCATTGATGTGAAAGAAGCCTTCCGACAAATCCCGGTGGATCCGTCTCGGGCATCGGTTTTTGGGTACACGATCGGCGATCACGCGGTTGTTGACCTACGGTGTCAATTTGGATGGCGGTCGAGCCCAGGGTTTTGGTCCTTGTTCTCGTCCGCGTTGGAACACTCACACACACACACACCACATTTCAAGAGGCGTCCGTCTCTCC